CCGAGTGAACTCCTGGCTGATCCACTTCCTGTGGGAGCAGCAGAGGACGGCTCAAGTGCGTGAGGGCCTGCACCCATGTGGGAGACCCCGATGGAGCGCCAGGCTCCTGGCTTCAGCCCAGCCCAGCTCCGGCCAGTGCAGCCACTTGGGGAGTGAACTAGCCAATAGAAGCTCTCTCTCTCTCTGTAAATCTGTCTTTCACATAGAAGTAAATCCTCATTTGGTTTTTCTGCAGTGAATATCAAGTACTATTCAAGAGAGGCCTCAGTGGGCGACTGGGAACCTGAGTCACTTCTCCCTCTGCTTTTTCCGGTCACTGTAACACACACGTGACGTTTAGGAATGGAGAAGGGATCTCTGACAGGTGCCCATCGGCGTTTGTCCGTGATGCGGCACAGCTGATTGCCCTCAACCCTGCCCAGCCCGTGAGATCCCTGGGGAGCTATCACCCGGGCCGGACAGGAGGCACCAATCTAGCTGACTGACCCCAGGGAGCCCCTGGAGCGGGGGGCTCTCAGCCTCATGGGGTCTCTGACTCTGCCTCTGGGGCTGTCCCAGCCCAGGGACAAGGGAGGCCGGAACCCTTAAAATAGGCCCAGGAACCGAAAGAGGCCCCACGAGCCCGTTCCCAAAAGCCACACTTCCTCCCTGCAACAGACAGCTCCAACTGCCTGAGGGCCCAGTGACTGCAAAGCCAGCTGCGGGCGGGCGCCAACACAACCCGACTCTGAGCCTAGGTGCTGGGCCAGCTGCGGGCGGGCGCCAACACAACCCCAACTCTGGGCCTAGGTGCTGGGCCAGCTGCGGGCGGGCGCCAACACAACCCGACTCTGGGCCTAGGTGCTGGGCCAGCTGCGGGCGGGCGCCAACACAACCCCAACTCTGGGCCTAGGTGCTGGGCCAGCTGCGGGCGGGCGCCAACACAACCCGACTCTGGGCCTAGGTGCTGGGCCAGCTGCAGGTGGGGGCCAACACAACCCCGACTCTGAGCCAGATGTTTTTTCTGCAGCAGCAGCAGGAGCGTGTGGACTGTGCTCGACATGTGCCAAGCCTGCACCTGCTGTCTCGCATACTTCCCCTCTCTCTGCAGGCCCCACTCCCAGAGTCCACTGCTTCCATGGCCTGGCTCTCTCAGGTCCCCTACCACATCCACGCGGTGCCCAGGAAAACCACAGGGGACCAACCGCAGGTACTAGGGCTCGTCCCAATTCACAGGTGGCCCAGGGGCCCGGAACGCCCAGCCTGAGCAGGGATACTGGCACACAGCCTCCTCCTGCCCCTCTATACCATCCCATGCCCCTCCCTGCTTCGGGACGGTCATTTGCACTGGACAGGCCTCAGTTGGAATCCAGCTCGGCCACCTCCCAGCCACATGGCCTTGGGTGAGTCACCTTCCTGCCTGAAGCTTAACTTCCAAGTGTGTCAAATGGGGCCGTGACAGAGGCTCTCTACAGGAAACGTTACAAGTGCACACACAGGTGCAGAGTAGCCAGCCCGCAGCCGGTGCACCTGGGCTAGCTCACGGGCCTCCCTCAGGTCCAGAAAGCCCCCCAAATGCTCCGATGATGAAGAACGGAGCTGACGGCCTGGGCGACACCATTCAAGCCAGTGAAGCCCTGCTCCTCTCTGGGTGGGCCCCGCCCAGCCCTGCCCCTCCCTGGGGCAGACCTCACTTTGCACCCGGCCAAGATATCCCCTCACCTTCCAGGTCTGTCCCCTCCAAAGCCGCAGGCGCCTCCCGACAAAAGGAAGCGTGTGACAGCTGCCTATGGGATGAGTGCAGGGTAGGAAGGAAGACTGAACACAGGACCCCCTCCAAAGCCCCAAAGTGCCCAGCCAAGGCCCGGAGGGAGGAGCCTCACCCCTCCCAGCGCTTCTCAGACACAGGTCACCCACTGGTGGCAGCACGGCCCCTGCTGAGAGGGGGTCTGCCCACATGGCATGCCTGGGCCAATGTCCAGGTCCCAGAAGAAAGTGGCAGGCCACCTGCGGCCCAAATGTTCACTTCACACATCTGGACAGGACACGTCCACATGCACCACCGCCAGCCCAGCCTGGTCCGACCATCAGCAGAAGCAATAGCAGGGGCAGCCGTGGCAGAGGCTATGCCTCACAGCGCTTCTGCTCTGGTCTGCAGCCACCCGTGACAGTGTCCCTGGCTTTTCTCTGCCACTACCAGGCACCCCCAAGCAGGCCCTCTCTCAACACAGACAGCAGCCCTGAACCCAGCATACCCTGCACCCCACACACTGCATATACAACCAGCACACTGCACACACCCCCACACAGCACACCCTACACACTGCACACCCAGCACATACAATCAGCACACCCAGCACACTGTACAATGCACACACAACCAGCATACCCCACACACTGCACACCCAGCACATTGCATACACAACCAGCACATAGCACACTGCACACACCCTGCACAGCACACCCTACACACTGCACACCCAGCACACACTGTACAATGCACACACAACCAGCATACCCCACACACTGCACACCCCCCCACAGCACATACAATCAGCACACCCCACACATAGCACCCCACACACTGCACCCCCAGCACACTGCACATCCCCCCACAGCACACCCTACACACTGCACACCCAGCACATTGCATACACAACCAGCACATAGCACACTGCACACACCCCGCACAGCACACCCACACACTGCACCCCCGGCACACTGCACATCCCCCCACAGCACACCCTACACACTGCACACCCAGCACACAGCACATACAACCAGCATACCCCACACACTGCACACCCCACACACTGCACACACCCCCCACACTGCATATACAACCAGCACATAGCACACTCCACACACCCCATATCCCACACACAGTGAGGGTTGATCATGAGGCTCCAGTTAGGTCTGGGCTGTGGAAGCTCCGGCCCTGAAAGCAAGTGGGGACTCCTGCCGGGGAAGGCTGTAGCTTTGTGCCATCCACAAACAGACCTCGACCAGGGGCTTCCTCAGTAGCATCCAAACAACTTCAGGACCGGCATAGCTCTGCATAACCTAAGTGCCAATCAAACAGCAACAAAAACCCAGGATTTAAATTCCTACGTGAGCCTAACAGGTCATCCCAGCTGTGGAGTGCAGATAACGAAATGCGATTCTGATCCAGGGTGCAAGAGGGTTCAGTGATTTAGCAGCTAGCAAAGGGCTGGGTTTCCAGCTTCTGGGCACTTGGGCCAAGCAGCAGGTCCTAACAGTATTTGGGGCACTAGGTACCTAACTAACCTCACTGTCCAGATGTCAAACTTCCCATTTGAGAAGCCAGAGAAACGGGCACAGCAAGCCCCTCTAAGGAGCCAGGAGGCCAGCCAGGCCAGCCACGCCCTTCCCTGGCCATGTGACTAAGGCACACCTTCCCTGCGTATGCCCCCATGCCAGCCGCTGGGAAGACAGTGCCCTTGGGGGTTCACCTGCTTGCGGGAGCTAGCCACAGGGCTCACCCCAATGCCTCAGGCACGCTGATGTTGCCAGGGCCCTGGGAAGGCCCCCTGGAGCAGACACCTGAAGGCAGACTGAGCTGGGCGGCATCCGGGTGAACAGGCACACAAAAAAAGAGTCAGGGCTTCAGAGAGGATGGGGGAGGGGCTGAGCACGGGGGAGGGGCTGAGCACAGGGGAGGCAGCCCAGCGGTCAGCCAGGAGAGACCCCCCACCCTGGGCAGAATCCTGAGTCCTGGGCTCCTGGGGCTGGGGGGAGTCTCGAGAAGGGCAGGCTCTGGGGTCAGATCCATCAGGGGTCATTGGGGCTGTGTGCCCAACTCCGCCTCAGGGAGCAGAGAGACCACCACACCTGGCCAAGTCAGTGATGGGACAGGCAGGTGCACACCAGGGCACACCAGCTGCCCCTGCTGGTACTAGGGCATGGTCCTTCCGGCTCCTTAGGGCAGGACTGACAGACAGAGATGCCAGGACAGAAGGGGCTGCTGTGCTAACAGGGCCAAAGAGCCCACAGCAGATGGTCCCCCAGACCCCTGCCGGTTCAAACATTCTGTGCCAGGAGTCAGGTGGGCCCACTGGGCTGGCACACACATAGTAGGTCTCAAAGGATGTTTGTGGAATGAAAGGCGTTCTGTTCAAATTAAATCTTGGCAGAAAATATGCCACAGAAACCCACGTTCCTGTCCATCCCGTTGGCACGCTCCACCCAGCCCCCACCACATCCACCAGGAAAACTTCATCCCCAGGCAGGTGGCTGGCCGGCCTGCACCTGCTTCGCCTGAAGAAGGATCTTGGAGGATTCAGGTTCGTTTCCGACCCTCACACAGCCTCCAGGGTATGGCCGGGACCGCCCAGGGAGAGGCCATGTCCCGGCTGCTCTCCTGGACTCAGTTTCCCCAGTGGTCAAGAAGGGGAACATTGGCAGGAAGTGGAAGGCTGGCACACCCCACCCAGCATCACCACCGTGTGGCGGGGATGGGGGGACGCCCATGCAACGTCCCCAGCCTGGGCTGGAGGTGGGGCGGGGGCGGCGACAATGTGGTATGAAGTCACCCCTTGCACACAGGAGGGAGGGGTCTTCCCGTGGAGAGAACGGCCAGCCCGCGCCTGCAGAAGGGCCCCTCCCCCGCTCAGGCCTGCGCCCCAGCCGGCCGGGGACCCCTCCCGCACCCCATCCACGACTTAGGGCAAAACGACCCCCCGACCGGCGGCAGCAGGTGGGCCAGGGGGGTGAGGGAGGCCCAACAGGTCCCTGGGATGCAGGGCCAGGCGGGCGCCCAGACAAAGGCTCGCCTTGCCGATCCGGGGGCGGCGGCCGAGCGCGGGGGCGGCGAGGTCCCCAAGCCGCACGCCAGGCTCCCGCAAGCCGCCACTTAGGGACGTCCAGGCAGACCAGGGGGACGACGAGCCCCGCACCCGGACAGGCGGGCGGCGGGGCCCACGCGAGCCGGGCGCGCAGGGGCAGGGTCGCGCACGTGCCCCGGAGCCCCGCGGGGCGCGCACGGGGGGACCCCCACTCACCGAGGCCGCAGACCTCCCGGCGCAGGCTCAGGCGGCCGCGCTCCTCCGCTATGGCCCGCAGCATGTGCTGCAGCGAGCGCTCCTCCGCCTCGCCGCCGCCCGCGGGCTCCGGGGACACGGCGGCGCTCGCGCCCAGGGCGGGCGGCCCGGCACGGAGCCCCGCGGGCGCCGACGCACAGGCCCGGCCCGGCGGCCGCGCGGAGGCCATGCCGGGCTCCGGCTCATCGCCCGCGCCGCGCCCGCGGGGGCCCTCGGCGCGCCCCGCCGCCCCCGCGCCGCCGCCGCCCGCCGCGAGCACCAGGGAAGCCACAATCCGCCCTTGAGCGCGTCGCCGCCGCCGTCGCCGCCGCCCGCCGAGCCGAGGTGAGCTCACCCGCACCGCCGGCGCCGCGCGCTCCGCCCCGCTCCGGAAGCCCCGCCCCGGCCCCGCCCCGAGGCGGCGCCCCGCCCCCGGCCGCGCTGAGGAGACGCCCCGCCCCGGCCCCGCCCCGAGGCGGCACCCCGCCCCCGGCCGCGCTGAGGAGAGACCCCGCCCCGAGGAGAGGCCCCGCCCCAAGGAGGGACCCCACCTCGAGGAGAGGCCGCGCTGAGAGGCCCCGCCTGCGTCTAGGACCGCCCAGATCCTCTCACAGGGAAGACCACGCCTCCTGCCGGGGCTCCGCCTCCAGGCCCGATGGCTCCGCCCCGGCAGGCCCCGCCCCACGGCCCAGCCGCCCCTTCCCCAGCCCCACAGCCCACCCACCCTGACGGTCCCGCCCCGCCCCGCCAGGCCCCGCCCCGCCCCGCCAGGCCCCGCCCCCAGCCCGCCGGCCCCGCCCCGCCGCCCGTTCGCTCCTCCCCGAGCGGACCTCGGTGTCCTCCTGCTGCTCGTCACGCCTTCACACCTCACCGGACTCTGCTCTTCTGACTCGGCCCCTGCTGGCCTTCCCTCCGAGTTCCCCAGAGCCCTAGCCGCAGTTTTGACTTCGTCACCCTCCTGCCCTCAGCACGTCACCAATGAGAATTTCCCACCTGGTGTCTGTGGGGGACAGCCTGGCCAGCTCTGGGCAGGGGGTCACGCACCCCCACCTTCCGAAAGGACATCTCCCGGGGTTGGGGGGCCCGGGGTGAGCCTTTCCGGTCGCCAGCGACGCCAGTGTACACGGGGAGCCTCGCTGTCCTCTGGTGCTGCTGTGGTGGCGGTCGGGGCTCAGCCAGCGTGACGAGGACAGACCCCGCGAGCAGCGGCCAGAAGCCTCCCCCGCGCTGCGCTGGCATCCGTGCTGGGTCTGCCCCTGCCCCGTAACCCCTGTGTGCCCACCGTGCCCAGGGCGCCTAGGGTGGGCCCCGAGCAGTGGGAGCCCCCTGCCCACCTCCGGCCACCCCAGGCACACCGCTGCCCCCTCAGACTGAGGCACGTGCGCCACCTCGCCCTGGAGGAGGGCAGCGGATGTGGAGTGAATCAACAGGGCACCGTTTTGGGTTCTCTGCTTGTTACCCCCCGAGCTACAGGGCATCCTGGCCCTTTTCCACATCAAATATTCAGAAGATAAAGAATTTAAAAATAAAGATTTCGCCTGGTTGAGCCCTACTGCTTACAAAGCACTTCCACATTCCGTGTCTGTTGTCCGGGTCCTAGGAGGCCGTTGTTCAGCCCAGGCTGACAGACCTGACTTAAAGGCAAGGCGGAGTCCCCGGTGCTCCCCGCCACCAAGCTGCAACTGAAGTTCGCCGGCAGAAAGGGGCGCAGTGGCCGATTCCCAAGCAGACCACTTTTAGCTGGAAAGTGCTTTTACCACAAGTCACCTGAGGTGACCTGGTGTTAACCCAGCAGTAATTTTTCTCTTCGTTCCCGTCTTAACAAAACCCACTGTGTTGAATGGAAGCTGCTGCGAGTCATGAATCACAAAGGCAGATTTAAACTCTAACCAAATTTGTTGTAAATGTATCTTTTTACCAGAGAGAGCCCACTGAGGAAAAGTACAGAGAAAATACGTGAACTCAGGGATGGGCGTGCCCTGGTCCCCCCGGGTCGGCAGCCTGGTCTCTGCCAGTCAGATGAAGGCGCTGGCCTCGGGGACGCAGGCTAGGGTCTAACCTGGCCACACAAGCCCTTCCAACTGGAGAACACGTCTGATTGTGAATAGCGGCATGGGAATCAGGCCAAGGCAACGTTACTGGCCTAGAAGACGGAGGCGGGTCAAGACGGGCAAGAAGCTTCCGGAAGCTGGAGAAGGACAGGAAACAGACGTTGCCACAGACGCTGCCCGGGGAGCCCAGGCCGGGGAGTTGAGGCCCGCGAGGCCCCGGCCCCGTGTGTTTCCGGAGGCCTGTAAGACGCCAGGAAGGTGCTGCTGGAAGGCAGTACCACCTCGGCAGGCCTGGGACACGGAAGTCGCCTGAGCTGTCGGCCGGCTCTTCCGGAGGGTCACTGCACAAGCAGCAGGTCGGCAGAGAAGTCCCCCACCCGAGGGCTTCCTGCTCGGGACTCGCCCAACTGTCACTCTCCCACAGAGCCTCAGAAAGTTCATGGGGAGCTTACCTGCAGACTGGCGTGAGGACTGTTGGAACCTGTGTGCTCTCTCCAGCATGCAAATTTTACATGAACTTTGTGCAGAACCCCTCCTTAGAGAAGTACATTCCCTCCCCCAAAATCTGCACTCTATTTGAATTCTATTTCCCATGAATATTTCATAATGTTCATTTCTTGAACGCGCCGGGATCCCATATGGGTGCCAGTTCTAGTCCCGGCAGCTCCACTTCCCATCCAGCTCCCTGCTTGTGGCCCGGGAAAGCAGTCGAGGACGGCCCAAAGCTTTGGGACCCTGCACCTGCGTGGGACACCTGGAAGAGGTTCCAGGTTCCCGGCTTCGGATCGGCGCAGCACCGGCCATTGCGGTCACTTGGGGAGTGAATCATTGAACCAAAGATCTTCCTCTCTGTCTCTCCTCCTCTCTGTGTGTCTGGCTTTGTAATAAAAATAAATAAATCTTAAGAAAAATTAAAACAAAAAGAAATGCCCCATAAACTCCTCTTCCCTTTTGGTCGTGACTGACAGTCCCAGGAACTTGTTGAAGAATTGGCTGGTTAAGCTGCGCCTGGCTGCCAGCACCTTTCTCCAGGCGCAGCTCAGCTCCGTGGACTGTGACTAGCTGGTCTCTGAGAAGGCACCAGGCCTCAATGTCCGGCGAATCTGCAATTGAACCACAAAATGTTCATCTGTTCTTCTTGGTCCCGGAGATGGGGCGGGGGCGGGGAGCCACTAGCTGCTGTTCAGGTGAGAGGCAGGCAGCCACACCTGGGCCGTGAGCACACCGGGCAGGCCCGGGCACAGGGCCGGGCTCACATGAGCGTGTGCTCACAGCTTCCCGGCAGCCTGGGCCGTGACTCACAGCTCTCGTGGCTGGGATCCCTGTTCCTCAGCAGGTCTTTCATGTGGCGAGTCGCGGGCAGCCCCCCATGTCTCCAGTGGTACGCCTCTCCAAAAACACGGCATTTTTTTTCTCACTTGCTGCACAGGCAGAGGAACTAGTGGAGGAGCTTGCTTCCTGGTCTCCAGCCCCCAACGACCCCAGCACAGCATTTCCCATTCTTGGCTGTTGCCAGAAATCCTACACCAGCATTCCACTACTACGATTTGGAATAGCTCCCAGCTAATACTCCCTTGGGAGGGGTGACATTAATATTACTATTAGGCCATGATGCTGTCGGAGAGGGGAGGCCTGGGAGACACAGACTGGGGTGAAGGTGGATTAGAATAATCCCTGGAGGGTCGGAGGTCATGGCACAGCAGGAGGCCCGGATGGAGCTCCTGGCTTCTGCTTGGCCCAGCCCTGAGCCACTGTGGCCATTTGGGAAGTGAACCAGCAGAAGGACAAGCTCTCTCTCTCCCTCTCTTTGTAACTCTGCCTTCCAAATAAATAAATAAATCCTAACATTTTAACAATGAGGATCGCTTTCAGACAGCCATGGCGGCGGGCGGTGATGGGCGCGTGTGCCCTGCTCTCCAGCCGCGCCGACCCGGCCAGGAGCGTTCGCTGCGCCCCCTGGACGCTATGGGAGTCGGGTGTCCAAGCGGAAGTCGGCCGCGCTCCTAGGCGTCCCCCTGGGGTGAGGACCTGACCTGTGTACCCCGCGACTGCAGGAGGGCAGGTGGCCCGGTGGAGGAGTGCGCAGCCCCTGATTCCCCAGCCTGAGGAGACCCAGGGGGCAGCCAGCTCCCAGCCACAGCTGCATGAAGGACCAGCCCACAGTGGGGCTGTGGTGGACACCGCTTGTCACCAAGGCGTGGCAGAAATGGAATAAATAAACGATAGTGGATAAAAAAAAAAAAAAAACAATGAGGATCTCTGAGCTCATCATCAGAAATCAAGGAAGTGCAGTCCTCCGCTTCAGGGCCCTCCTGTCCGCTGGGATGTCCACTGCGGAAATGATCAGTACGTCGGAGTGTGGGAAAAGGGCAGCTTGGTGCCCAGCTGGCATGAAGCTGGCGTTGTCTTTAGGTGTCAGATGAGGCCGGTAAAGCCCAGAGAGGCTGGGAGATGCTCAGAATCCCAGAGCCAGTGAGACCCCAAGTACACACAGACGCCCGGGGAACTCAGCCCTCCCTACGAGCGAGTGAGGACACAGGACACTCCAGGGTGAGGGGACACACAGGCGGGCAAAGATGAGGCCAAGAAGAAAACTGGACCAGAAGCCAGGATCAGGGCACTGGGATGGCACGTGGATCCTGTCTGCTCCAGCGCCCTCCGGCTGCCTTCTGAAGGTGCCAGGGCCCCTCCTCTCCTGTCTGGAGGGGAGGGGAGAGCAGAACAGGGCAGGAGCCAGCAGCCCAGTCCTCCTCCCACCTTCGCAGGCCTCTGCCCTCTGGACACCTGCCTGGAAGCTGCTTTGCTTGACCCTGAATGCGCAGCCTTGGGGCCCCTGGCCTGGTGTGGGGAGGGCTACCACACCCCCTCTGGGCAGGATCCTTTACTAGCATGGCTTGCCAGCTACAGTTGCTGCCAAGGAGACCTGCTGCTGGATTCTGTGTTTTTGTTTGTTTGTTTAACAATTTATTATTTTTTATTGGAAAGGCAGATTTTGTAGAGAGGAGGAAAGATAGATCTTCAGCCATTGGTTCACTCCCCAAATGGCTTCAATGGCTGAAACTGAGCTGATTTAAAACCAGGAGCCAGGAGCTTCTAGTTCTCCCACACGGGTGCAGGGGCC